GATGGATGGATGATGGATGAAGGATGGATGGATGATGGATGAAGGATGGATGGATGATGGATGAAGGATGGATGGATGATGGATGAAGGATGGATGGATGATGGATGAAGGATGGATGGATGATGGATGATGGATGGATGGATGTTATAAGTCTTGTCTCAGTTACATCATTAGGTCATTTAACCCTGAAGTCACAGAAAAATGTGTAAAATAAGGAATAAAAAATTTAATGCAATGCAAAATGTGTGTGATCATTGAAGAGGAGTTTTCTTACAGTTCGTCAGGGTGGGGGTAATAAGTCATGTATGAGGATGGCGCTCTGTAGTTAATATAGAGTTGCCCCCCCCCCGGGTGGTCATGACCTTTGACGGAGGGAAAAAAACGCTAAAGAAAAAAAGCCCGCTGTCAGCAGTGCGTAGCTAATGTTAATCGCGATCATTACAGTCGTAATCAACTTTTTAAGGTACAATAGACGTGTAATTATAGCTCGCAGTAATTCGTAACAAAAGGTAAATATAAAAACTTGCGACAACTATCCTCACTGAAGATTATTTGAAAAAGTCGGGTGTTTTGTACAGTGCTCGTCGCTAACCACGCACTTTAGCTAGCATCGAGTTAGCTGAGAGTTTTTTTTCCCTAAGTTTTAAAAACAACGTGGTTTATTTTCCAACAGGTAAGTTTAACTGTTTCGGAGTCATTTTTACGTGATGGAACAAACTGAGGGGCAGCTCCAGCTGGACGATTCTCCACAGGGACTAGACGCATTCATTGACTGGCTGCTGGAAGACCGGATTGACGAAGAAAATCTGGCGTCCGGATTCCGAGGTGAAGCAATCAAAGCTAATTTTAAAGCTTTGTTACAATTTGGTGACATAGTTGTTACTTTATTCATTTCAAACTTCATTTGTCATCCCTTTTTATTGTTTATGTACATGTATTTCAGAGATGGAGGACGACGAGAACCTGCTGTTGTTGGCTGACGTCTCTCTGGCGCCACCGTGTGGTCGCTCTGCGTGCTGCAGCTATTCGGAGGAGAAGCGGAATGAGAGGAGCCTGCAGGAGGACCAGCTGCAGCTCCAGCTCCAGTCCCTCCTGAGCAAAGCAGATGACTTGCATGACTGCCTCATCAGTGGGTGGGTTGCTGGTTAATGCGTAAAGACTGGTTTCAACCGAGTAGGTTTTTTTTAAAATTATTATTATTATTTTTTTTATTTTGACAGGCTGGGACATGTGGAAAAAGAATCTCTTCATGCTGCAGTTTCAAGCTTCCTGTTCTCCTGTCAGCCTTACTTTAACCACCTGGAATCCAGAGCTCGCAGCACTGTGTCACAGTACTCCCATGTGCCCGCTGATATGTGTTCAAAAGTAAACATCTGCAGATCCCCTCCACTTTAATTACGACATTTAGGAACAACTTTCTCGCTCTCTGTGTGTGCAGCTTTTAGAGTTCTCTCAGCAGCTGTGTGACAGGTTGGAGCAGCTGCTGCTGACCTATGCCACACATGGCATCCTCAGCTTGAATGAAACCGAGCCTGACAGGTACAAACTTACAAACTATAGGTTCATGATTTCTGCAATCTGTAGTCTCTTTTACCAAAATGATCTTAATATGGATAAATGTGGGCAGCAGTTGATATAGCTTTCAGCTCATGGCAAGAAGATCGCAAGTTCACCTCCTGGTCTTTCTGTGCATGTGTGAGTTTTTCCAGTTTCCTCCCACAGACCAAAAACGTGTGTTTGTTGCATTGATAGCTTACGAAATTGTCCCAAGGTGAGTGATTGGTTGTCGTTTTTATTTCTTCTTTCTGCAACTTGTAATATGAAAATCACCGTCTTCATTTCCCCCCGATCTCCTCTCACCTCCTAACCCTTGACAGGTTGCAGACCCCCTCCTGTCCTGACCTTTTGGTGCTCCTCTGTTTGCATTCCCAGCGTGTCTCACTTCTGTGTGGGTCAGACCCAGCTGGGTCGGCTGAAGCTGACCATTTTCCGTTACTGCAAGCCGACGCCGTACCTGGCCCGGACCAACACCGGACTCTACAAACGCATGCGCTGGAACGTGGAGAGGCTCCGAGACCAGCAGGAGGATGGAGGTGCTGAAGAGGACGGGGAGGAGGCGCACATCGACTAGTGAGTCTGAATACTTTCACCTGTTCAGCAGCTTCATCTTTTCACATTTATTTCATTTATCCGTTTCATTAAAAATAAAATACAAAAAAATAAAATGAACTGAAAGGCAGCAGAAAGAGGAAGAAAAAAAAATCTTATATGTGCCTTTCTCATCAAATAAATTTATCAATCTTTATGCAACAAAACAAAATAAAAAAGTAAAATTAAAAGAAACCATCAAATTTTTCTTGAACTAATAATTGTCATGTTTTTAGAAAGATGTTTGACCCACATGCAGAACACTCTCAGGAGACAAGGAAAGTTCAAAAGGTTTATTTACAAATAAAAAGCAAATAAGTTAAGAGAATCTCCTTCTGGGGCTGGAGACCCGGGGGAAAGGAATTCACTGAAGGCAGAGGAGAATATGATGAGCAACACAAAAATACTGAGGAAATGATGAGGAACCAAAAAACTTCTCTTACTTGGGTTGTGAGTGAGCGTCCACCAGAGGGGGGTGGTTGAGTGAAAGACAAGTCAGTGCAGTGCAGCCAGATAGTTGGAGGGTGGACAGATTACCGTGCGGACCGGGGACAAAGACCTTGAAGCTGTCAGTCTCAGAACTGCTCCAGGAGATCTTGGGTTCTCGAGGAGGCTCAGGGAAACTCTGGTAGATGAACCAGGAGGTGGTGGAGGAAGCCTTGGAAGGAGATCGCAGGAGTTAATATTAAAGTTCCACAGGGGAGAAAAAACTTCTCAGAAATTAGCACAGAGAACAAACTGTGGGAGCACGAGATACCATTGCAGGCAAACACTCAGGTACTGGAGAACTGACAGCCAACTCCTTTTATCCCCTGGATGATTGCAGGAGAGGAYCTGCAGGTGTCAGTGATAATCAGTGGTTCCGCCCTCCAGTGACAGCAGCTCCAGACTATCTGCACAAACAAACTGAACACAACAAAAACACACCCCAAAACCAGGTTTCTAACAATAATCCATTCTAGGCAGGCCCTTTTTACGTTATTTGTTCGAARAAGAGCAGGTAAAAGAGACAAGATCTTTTGATTTCCTGCCCTTCTCATACTCATAACATTTAAATGTTCTCACACCAGATAAACACATTATTCCCACATTGAATGGCATTTAAATCTTACATTCTCATCCTTACAAGTACAATTATTTATACATTTTAGTATAAATAATAATATTGAGACACCCATCCTACATAACATATTTCCCAGTTTTATCGCTTGTCACAGAAAAGCGAGGCAGATGGATGTTGAACCGTTGTAGTACAGGTCCCTGCCGTTACCCTCTGCATTCCTCCACCTTTCAGCTACTTCCTGTGTTACGAGGACATTCCCAATCCATGCGCCGAGTCCGACAGCGAAGGCGCCGGTCACGATGGCTTGGTGAGAATGTGGTCCATCGGTCAGTGGATACAAGTGAACCCTGACCCCTCAACAGAAGACATTAACGACTGGTAAGTTTAAGTCTAATTACCAGTTCAACGAACTTAACATTTAAAAGCCTGACCTCACCTGGGAACGTTCCAGGATCCTGTGCGAGGTTCCAGAGGGCGACTACAACAGGCTKCTGCTGCTGGGCCACGACGAGCCGTCCAGCTGCAGCGCCACAGACTACCTGCAGCAGCTGCTGCTGTCGTGCTGCATCGATTAAAGTCACGAGTGGCGGTGCACATGACTCCAGTTGGATGTGTTTTTAAAAATGTTTTGAGCCACACTAGATGTCTCCTAGAATTTAGCGTTCAGTTTTTTTATGACAAGTTTTTGTGGGTTTTATTGTGAAGAGGTTTCATGTTAATGCATGCTACTCAAGCTGTGACAAAATGTCATGAAGCGAAGTTTTATACGTTTTCATAGTTTTGTGGGTTTTAAAAACAGGGTTCCCGCAGATCCTTAAAGTCTTAAAAGGCATTGAATTTGTAAATCCAAAAATAAGGCCTTAACGTTAAAATGGCTTAAATCCATATTTCAGAGGTCTTAAAAATGGTAACATATTTTAAAGTAGGATGATTGTAAATTGTCTCAAAAATTAAAACAATTGGTAACATTTTTTATATATGTATAATTTACACATTTTTTCTCATAGTTGTTCTGTGTTAAAATAAACATTTGGATAAAATTGTCTCCAACTGTTTTGTTTTTTTCCACATTTGTTTATTGTGAATTGGGTCTTTAATTTAATTTCAAGTGACRTTAGAGGTCTTAAAAAGTCTTAAATATAACTTGCCTTAAGCTGTAGAAACCATGTAAAAGAAACATTTTGAGTAAAATTGTCTCTTTTTTCTTTCCATTTGTTTATTGTGACYGTCTTAAATTTGTAAGAACCCTGAAAGAGCAGTTTGTTGTAAATAAGCTCAAACCAAGTTATTAAAAAAAGTATTTTATTTACATTAATTGCATCCAAATCATTAAAAACACAAATGTGTCAAGACAAACAAGAAAAATATCAATTTGAGCTGCCATATTCAGGGCTTTAGGATTGATCGCCCCGTTTACTTTAACAGTTTCATATAGATGAGGACAAACAGTCAAATTTTTATTTTTTCAATAAATTAAACATCTCAGTAAAAGAAAAACAAAAACTCTGATCCTGAGTAGCAACTGCAGTCCGTTCACTTAAAATTTAACTCCAGAAAACTCTTCAGTTCTACTGACTGGACAAAAAAAAGGCATCTTAAAGAATAAAATCTACCATTTAACCACCAACACATTCTCATTTTCTATTTAATAAAACCTATATACAACTCCTAAACAACTTTATAGCTCTAAAACTCTGAAATAGAAAAGTAAAAAGGCGAGACTCTTCATTACAGTGATCAGTCTTTAAACAACACAAACCATGGGTTTAATGGTGCTGAAAGCCAAATGTTTTCAGATTAACACTTGCACGGCAGCTTTCAGTCCAACAGTTTGGTTTTCATGAGGTTTTATAAAAACTCCAGAGGGCAGAACAGCAGGCCAAGGAAAGCAACAATGGAAGACCGTTTCAAATAGACATAAAACTGTAGTGTTTCTAAAACTCTCCACAAATAAGCCTCATTCTGTCAAAAACAGACTTTAAGCTTTAAACGTCTACAGACGGACTGATATCACAGGACAAAAATACTTCAGAGTAAATCACAGCTTCAACAATGATCTGAGGGCCTCGTCTTTACAGCGTTAGTGGAGAAATATTGGGTATAAATCAGGTTTAGACACAGCTGGAGGCCTGTCACAATTAGGCATCTGTGCTTTTTTTGCTTTAAGAAATTTTAATTTGCAAATGTAAACAATGTAAGGAAGACTGCGYTGAAAGAAATGAGAATAGAGCTGTGACCATTCTTTATTGCATGAATGTTTCGGTTGTTGAAATGGAGAAAACCCTGAAAGAATCAAAATTAAACAAAAACTGACAAAACCAGAGGGTAGAACTAGGAGAGAACACTGTTTCAGCCAAACATTAAACTAAAGTCACATAAAACTCAATTTAAAAACCACTCAGTGCACGTTTAGGGGTTGATCAAATGGTGCCGTTTTGTCAAATTTAACCACAGTAAAATGTTTTTCACAGGGATATACATTTTATTTAATCAAAAGAAAATAGCCTATGGATTCTAATCTCAAGTAAAAGTTAAACATCATCAGAACCACGCCCAGCACTCGCTTTCTCTCAACGAACTGTTAGGTTTTGTCAAGTCAGGCTTTAGAAAGAAGCCCGCCCGTTTCATAAGACGCTCCTCTGGACTGCGCAAATAAAACTGKGCCAAAAACCATGTTTCTGCAAGATTAAACTTCAAAAAACATGTAAACAAACAAAAAAAGCACAATAACGAACCCTCATCAGAGCCCTGCTCCAGTGTTGAAGGAAAACAAAAAGTTGAACTTTGGTTAAGAACTAAGTTCCAAACGGCTCAGACTGAGATCATTTCCTTTGCCTTTAGGGTTTCAACTCAGCTTAAAAACTAAAATAATAATAATAACAATAATAATAGTCATAACAGCAATAAAGAGCAGACTCCTTTATAGTTGCTAGATTTCACCTGATAATTCGTCAAAACTGTGATGAATAGAAGCCTCCCGGAACACAAGAAACAAGTCATTTGGTTACTTTTCCCAAAAAATCTCAGTTATCGTCTGGCAGTGAAATAAGATGAAAAGTTTTGATTCTAAAAACTGCACGAGATCACAACCAGTAGTTGCAGGTACTTCACAACCAGTTTACTGCTGAGAGATTGATAAAAGTACATTTGACACTACCAGGCAAAAAACAAAAAAAGAAACCCAGTTTCCACCCTGTTACTGGCAGTGATGCATTATGGGATTGTGCCAGGATGATCTCATGGATTTGGCTGCATTTGTTTGGAGTGATGTAGGATATCAGGTGTTTGTGTGTGTGTGTGTGTGGGGGGACGACGACAGAGGTTTTGTTGGAGTGGTGTCGTGTTGTTTTTGTTGACTCAGATTTCTGTGGGACACATGAGACTCTCATTCTTCACTGGCAGAGTTGGAGCGGAGACAAGGTGGGAAATGAGKTTTTAAGTGTTTTAATTTAAGGTTTAACATAATTTAATCTCATGTTTTAATTCATAAGTAGTGTTTTCTAAAGCATAAATTTATTAATTTGGTTCTCTTCTTCAGCTGCTTAAAAAAAACGGACATAACCTGAAGTTTACAAGCAAATGCAGCCTTTTTGATCTAATCCTCACTTATTTAAACCAACTCACTGCCTTGCTACACTCCTCCGAAAGACGTCACCGGAGGAAATAAAGAGAAGTTTGCATCGATACGCTGGAAGAGAAACGTCCTCTGCTTCCACTGTGCTGCTACCAGGCCTGTAGGTTGTGCTTGTTTTCACAGTGACGTGAGAATTAGAGCATCTGTAGCAAATGTCCTTTTTAAACTGGTTAAATATAACGTTGGTTTGTTGACTCGGTCATCTACGTTTTAATAATACAGCTTATCAGAATTTAAGTGTAAAAAGTAAACAGCTTGTCTGAAATGTAGGACATTTCAAATACCTTTAACTTCACATTACATTGAAGGTTAAATATCAAGTCCAGAACTCGTCGGCCGGTCGTTCACAAAGACAACTTCCTCAGTGTGTGTGTGTGTGTTGTTCAGTGTGTGTTGTTCAAAGTGTGTGAGTGCAAACAGTGTGGGTCCCTCAGTGATGCGTCTCCAGCTCCACCACTGTCCACTCCCCCTGAGGGGAGCTGCCGGTGGCCTCCGGGGAGAAGCTGCTGACGGAGGTGACGGTAGCGGAGGGAGGGGTGAGGGGGGGCAGCAGACTGGGCCACAAACTGCTCTCCAGGGGGCTCAGAGTTCCTCCTGCACCCCCCGGCAGCAGCAACAGGGAGGAGCAACCGTCTCCGTTTAGCAGCAGCGTCTGATTGATCAGCTGCTGGACTATGTCCACTTTCTTGCCCCAGTCCAAGTCCAGGGGTGGGGGGCGCTCTGGAGACTGGGTGGAGTCTGAAGGGAGGCTGTCGGACAGCGAAGAGTCTCCGTGTCTGTCCTCGTCCGACCTCTCCGTTTCACTGCTCGTCTGGTGGTTTGCAGCTGGTTTAAACTCGTCTTTCGTGACATCTTGCTCATCTTCGTCCTCGTCCTCACTGTTCTCCAGGGCTTCATATATGGTGCAGAGGCCAGAGGAGGGGGACAGCAGAGCCGCCTGCTGCAGCTCCTGCTGCCACTGCATTATCTGCTGTCTCTGTTTCAGCTCCTGCTGTTGCTGCTGCAGCTCCTCCTCTCGCCTCACCTGCTCCTTCACCTCTTCCTTCTTCCTGGCCTCCTCTTTGTTCCTCTTCAGTTCTTCCTCCGCCTCCTCCTTCTTCCTCCTCTCCTCTTCCTCGGCTCTCCTCTTCCTCTCCTGCTCGGCCTCCTCCAGCGGCCGGCTCTGCTGCTCGCGGCGCTGCTGCAGCTCCAGCAGTTGCCTCTGGTGCTGCTCCAGCCTGCGGAGCTGCGGGCTCCTCGCCTGCAGCCCGGGGCTCCTGGGCGGGAGGTCGGCGCAGCTCAGCTTGGCCGAGGGGACGGCGGCGACGTGCGGTTTGACGATGTCGCAGTAGATCCGGGGGTACGAGGAGTGATCGCGGCGGTGCTGGTGAGGCAACGCTGTGAAGCCTGTGTGCGAGAGAGGAAGCAGGAAGCATGGTTACAGAGGTGGCATCCAGAGGTCAGACAGCAGGGCAGTGATTACAAGCGGGAGGGTGTAAAGAAGAATAAAAGGCAGCACTGTTGAAGCCAAGCCCGAAACGGTCTGCCTGCAGCACCAAAAGGTTCTGAATTGGAAATCAAGACAGACATTTGTAGTTTGAGGACAGAGAGAACAGTGACCCAAAGAAAGGCATTGGGGGTGGCTAAAGTGGTGGAAAATTTGTGCAGAGAGCAAAAGTGCAAACTTCAAATGATTTCATTTTATCTCAAGATGTGAAACCCAGAAAGATTGATTTTTTTTAATGTGCCAAAAAAAATAAAAAATAAAAAGCAGCCAAACTTCCTGTATATGCAATCAACCATGATGAGGTGAACCACAGAGACRAGCTTCAAAACAATCATCACCCAGGAGTGAAGTTCAGTTAGTTAAACATGCAAGAAGCTCCCCATGCATTTACACACATCCAGCTTCACAAAAACTGAAATAATATCAATAGCTTGGCTTTAAAAGCTGGGGGGGAAAAAAATACCTAAAGCCGAGCTATTTAATCCCCCACCAGGGCATACACGTGAGATGCAACCAACTTATTGTGCAGCAGCGACATGCATGAGCTCCATCAACACCACGGTGCTGTGGAGCAGTGAAGCAAAGACTGGTTAAATATAAAAACATCAACACACCCGCACAGATCTTGGAGGGAACAAGTTGAGCTGGTTCCTTCTGGAGATGATAAACGTCGTCAGGCGTTTGGTCCTCAGAAGGCAGAGTCTGGCTGAGCGACCGATCGGCTCGCAGCATTTTGTTCCAGTATTATTTTTCCAAAACCAGATTAAGTTTTTGACGTGGTCATCAGGAAAACATTTTAAATCTTAACTGAGCTTCCAAAATCCATACATTTAGTGTTTTACAAGAGAACGCAACGCTTAGATTTCTCCCCTCTGTTGAACAAAAAGACTTAAGGCTCCAGATTGTATATATTTTTTAATACTAGGGGTTTTCTAAAATCTATTTACTTATTGAAAAATACGTAACAGCATGACCTGCATCTCCTCGTCTTTAAAGATCTTAATGTTAAGAGATGTGAATTTGTGCGCAAGACATAAGTGTACAATAAGAATAAATCACAATAAAAAAATGTCTAATCTTTATTTAAATTTATGGATCATTATGCAAAACAACAAAAAAGGAAACGTATTGGGTACAACTTAAAGTGCAAAAAGAGAACAAAAATAATTGTTTATCCAGAAAACAGATCAAAACAAATCAAGTTTTATTAGTCGTTCATTAAAAAAAGGATAAATACACACATGAAACATGATAAACTATTGAACATTTCCTTCAGGTGTTTTTCCGGTCATAAAACAGAAAAGTCACATCCATGCCAGTGCAAGGGAGCCATATATTTATGCACCMAATAGAACCCAAACACACTTAAAAACTTAGATGGACCAAGCTATTGCACATACAGGAGTTGAAGCCATACGAGGGAAGTGCCACTGCTGTCCCCTCAGTCTCCACCCACCACACACTTTTTTGCTCTCTGGTTTTAATTTTTAAAGTACACGCTTGATTTATATCCACCCCCAGAGATTTCAGGACAAAGACGACTACTAGAAGAGAAGCTAAACAGGGCCAGAAGAAGGTTATCTGATTACTTGGACAGTCAGAGAGATTAACAACTATACGTTACCTGCAAAAGAGTCCTCAGTCTTTTCACAAATAGCAGAATAGTACGGAGGCTGAATATCTTCTGGCATTTCCTCTGACCTCTGCTCGTTGCTCAGAGCAGAGGAGGGGTCCGATGCAGACACTTCCTCTGCGACGTGCCGAGCTCCCTCCGTTTCCCGTTTCCCACAGTCGATGTAGTGATGCTCAGCGTCACACTGCTGGGTGTGAGGCTGCTGAGGGAAGGACGGATCTTTAGCCTCCTCCGGGAGCTCCTCCAGGGAGAAGATGCCGGGGCTCTTGATGCAGCTCTCTGTGGACTGGGCGTTGGAGCTCGATGCTGTCGTGACGCTGTCAAAGCCGTAGGACGTCAACGAGGCCGCTGAGGGTGGGGTGGCTTCTTCACCTGCTCCAGCCTCGGCCTCCTCTCCCTCCTCCACGGTGGACAGACTTCGCTGGGTCAGGGGCTGCATGTCAAAGGTTGTGTTTACAACCAGAGTAATCTTCGAGGCCACGTCCAGCTGAGCCTCTCCTTCGGTATCGCTCGCCTCGTCTTCTGTTACAGAAGATGATGAAGGGTTGGACAAGGGGGCAGTCGCAGGGCCCTCCAGGATTTCATCAGCCGGGAGGGTCTCTGGTTCTGCCTCCTCCTCTAATTCTTTGTCTCCAATGTCTGGGTGCACGCCCAGGTCCTGGCTGTTCAAGTCAGGCTGCAGGGAATGCGCAAACATCTGAGCAGCATCTGGATTGTGGTCATCCTGGTCCTCAGGCATGCTAGTCTTCCTGTTCAGGGTGTCTGATGAAGGCGTTTCTGGGGCTGGGGTCTTCACTTGTGCTTGGTTGGACTCAGTATTTAGTGGTTCACTCGTGGCAGTTGAACACTGTGGGATGTCTTGCATGTTAGGACCAGAAGGCGCAGGTTCCTGCTCCTGCCAGTCCTGGGCCGGGGTTTGAGTCGGGGTCTCAGAGTCTGCTTGCATGGGGTCGGTCAAAGGGCTCGTTGCAGCTGCAGCATGTGTGGTGTCCAGAACCAGAAAAGGTTCTGCAAAAGGGTTTGGTTGTTCCCACTGAGCAGCCGGGGCGGAYGGCAGCACAGGTGGAGGAGGGGGCGGCTGGGCCACCCTGTTCAAGTTGTCCAGCCTCTCATCTTCAGCAAAGTCATCCTCATCTGCATTCCCATAACTTTCAAGCCCACTCTCAGTGACTCCCTCACTAGCCATCTCCACATCATCGTCATCCTCCTCTTCCTCCTCCTCGTTGACATCATTGTCATGTCTGGGTCTCTGCTGCTCGTCTGTCCGCTCCGAGCCCACATCCATGTCACACACCCGGTCGCTATCGTCCTCATCTTCATCCTCATCGTCGTCAAAGTCATTGACGGGTATGTCAGGAACTCTCTCAAAGTCAGGAGAACCTGCAGAGGCTCCTTCCATGTCCATGGCTCCTTTCAGACTGCCGTCTCCCAGATCATCTGTGCTCTCTGTGCCCTCCAGGACACCGGGGGCGCTCAGCTCTGAGGCCCCCTGCTGGCTGCCGCTCACCTCCTCCGAGTCCAGCTCCGAAAGCAAGGCGCCACCAGCTCTCCAGGCGGAGCCCGCCACTGGTCCACCTGACCCAGGGCGGGAGTCCTCTGTGGGCTGAGTGGTTCCACTCATTTCAGACACAGAAACCAGCTGGCTTCCTTCCCGTTCTTCATCCTCCTCCTCCTCATTCAGATCAGCAGGAGGAACCAGCTGAGGGACTGAGTTAGCCGCTGCTGGGAYGGCTGTAGATCTGGAAAGAGTGTCGTCTGCTTTTAAGTCGATGTTTTSTTGAGGCAGGTCAGACACGGGGGGTGATGAAGGCCTGGCCGGGGAGGAGACCGGCTCTTGCAAAGTTCCTGATGTAGGACACTTTTCGAACAGTTCCACGCTAACAGATGCTGGTGGCGTGGTTCTGACAGGACTTTGTGAAGAACAGGGTGCTGCTTTCTCTTCTGGTTCCATCTCTGCTGCAGGATGGTGGTCTGAATCATGGGTGGGGACCTCCTCCACTGCAGAGGCAACATTAGATATTTCTTGCTGTAAGGTCACTGCAGCCTCTGCAGGAGCTTCTGCTTCAGTTACAGCAGCTTCAACAGAACTAGCTGTGTCCTGTGCTTCTGCAGCAGGTACTTCAGCAGAACTACCTGTGTCCTGTGCGTCTGCAGCAGGTACTTCAGCAGAACTACCTGTGTCCTGTGCGTCTGCAGCAGGTACTTCAGCAGAACTACCTGTGTCCTGTGCGTCTGCAGCAGGTACTTCAGCAGAACTACCTGTGTCCTGTGCGTCTGCAGCAGGTACTTCAGCAGAACTACCTGTGTCCTGTGCGTCTGCAGCAGGTACCGCAGCATTTTTCTTCTTTGCACACCAGAAAGGTTGGACAGTTTGAGTGGGCTTGATTCCATGTTTTTTTGCAGGGGAGCTATGGCTTAAAGTTTTGCTGACCGGAGAGGCCGGTGGCGTTTGGCCCAGAGGAGGTTTGTTTGTCAGAGGGAGCCGCGCAGCAGCTGCAGGTCTCTTCGTCGAGTTGGGTTTTGCTGGATGCGGAGGTTTGGACGGGAACACCTTGGCATCAGCAGCCTTGGTTGTGGTGGAGCCTTTGGGAGCAGAGATGAGTTTCATGGTAGGTTTAGAGGGTTCGTGTTTTTTGGTAGCAAGCGGTGCTGTGTCTGTTGTGGGCTTCTTGGCCACAGCAGCAGAGGCTGGTCGACTAACATCTGATAAAAAAAAAACAAACAAAAACAAAGTTAAGATAAGAGACCAAGAATGTGAGATGCATTTATACAAACTTATTTCAGACAACCTGCATCTGATAACAATGCCTTCTCACCTTTCTTGGCAGCAGCAGTTTTAGGCATTTGTGTTGCAAGGGTCCTTCCAGCAGGCGGTGCTGTGGYGACTCGAGAAGCAGCAGGTTTTGCACTTGCTGTGGTGGAAGACTTTGTTGCTGTTGCTCGGGATGTTGAAGGAACTGCAGCAGGCCTGGAGGCAAAGATAAACGTTTTCCTTTGGCGTGGTTGCAGAATATCGCCTTTTTTTTTTAGCAAAGATCGAAAACAGTCAACTGCTAGATGTACAAATCCATTTTACCGTACTGAGAAAGTTTAAGATGGAAGAAAATGAAATGGGGTCGAGTACGACGGTAAAAACAGAAGTATGAGAATTAAATAATTGAAAAAACAAAAAATACAGGCTGATAAACCCATTACCTTTGATTTGTTTACTAAACACTTCACTCATTAAGCGTAAAAAACAGGACATTTGTTTCAAATTAAACTTTCAGAAACTTTAGGAGGTCTTTATCATCAATTACAACAATCTGCAATATAAGATTTGACATCTCCGACAGGGTTTCTGATGGTTTTCAGTGGGGCAGCATGCCTGCACTCAGATGCCGCTCCCACTGCACAATAGTCGCCACAATGACCAATTGTTTCTCCAAGATGAGACGACCACTGTACGGCCACGAAGCCAGCGCTGCAGCATTTTGTAATTGGCTGCCATTAGACTGAAGATCTGGGCTGCGATGTGATGTGCGGCCCAAAATCTGAAAAGTGTGTCAGGCCTAGAAAGCCTCTGCTTTTAAAGATAAATAGCAAAAAAGAAAAAACAGGCCAAGATCAAGGCACAGTACTGAAAGTTTTAATGAATAAAAAGAACTAGAAATAAAAATGTCAATAATTGGTTTAGTCTTAGTACAATCCTGCTCTGCACAAAAACATTTGAACAGGAAGCAAAAGTGAAGATGGGCAAACTGAATTATTGATACAGACTTGGTAAGTGAATACAGAGGATAAGGGTGTTCAGAGACAGCATTCCTTTATGACACGGCTTTATAATGAGTCATAATTCATAAAAAAAAGGTTTGATAAAGAAACGAGCCTCGGTGATGACTGCACTATTACACACCGCCTGTGGGTAGTGACTGGTGGTTCTGTTGTTTGTGAATTGGTATAGATTACATTTCCTGCCAACAGAGGATTGAAATCAATACAAACCTCAGCTAAAAAGGAAGATGAGAGGCACTACACAGCCGTCTATGTAATTTTAATGACCGAACACAGCGTTCAACAGAGCGGCGCAGCAGAAACAAGAGCTTTCTACACTTCTGCAGCATTCACAAGTGTTTACAACAGATGCATCACATCTGTCATGATCTGCTGCGTATTGTTTGCCAAATATCAAATAAGAGGCAGGAGGAACACATCAAGACCTTTTTCAACTCTTCACTTGTGACTCTGTTGTTTTAAAGACAATCATTTAACTCGTACATAAGCTGTTTGCCTTTTTATTTTTAAACTAAATAGGCAGCATGTTGGATCCGAGATTGCATCAAACATTTACAAAATCAGGGTAAAAATTTCCAGCCTTTTGAATAGTTTTCATTGCTCATCATTTTAAGTAAAACAAATTGTAATGAAGCGCCTTGTTTGGCTGATAAGCTGTCCAAAACCGATTTATTCTTTCCTGAGAGTAGCTGACATTCCTGGTGTTTGTGTAAGTCTTCAGTCATCTCCCTGACAAAAGGCTAAAAGCCTGAATCAGCTCAGTGGAGAGTTCAGAGGAAGCGCTGCAGCCTAGCAGCAGCCGGGCAAAGAGCCTTGGCTCCAACAAAGCCTTAGACACCCACTGTTCCTGTGATAGACACCACGGACTTCTATTAGAGCAGTCTCCTTACAAAGACTGTCAGGGAAAGATTACAAAGCTTCATCAGGAGTGGGAAACTGAAAAACGCAAGAAGACATAACTAATAAAAAAAAACAACACCMCAAGAAACATCCTAAGCACCTCAGTTTTCCACTTTACACCATTTAAAAATGGTGTTTGAGGCACAGAAAGAACACTTAATAATGAAATGACCATTGTACTGAACMAGAGAATGATGCTGGAGCAAACACTGGCTAAACTGTTTGAAATCAGCAAGCCCAGCAAACAGACTGAAAGAAAAAGTACAAGTTGAACATGAGCAGTCTGCCCAAAGCACTGGCCCCGATATAAAAAAGGAATGATCCAAGTCAACAGCTATCTGCCCTGGGGAGTTAGGTCTGGTTTCTGCCGGAGGGAGGTTTATTTGAAACAAAGAGTTAGTTCTTCAGCGTCACCAGCTCTGTTAACGCCGTCTGTATCAGGTCATTTTGCAAACATGACTCATGAAGTAATTTTAACTTAAATGACCAAAAAAAAAAACCCCTACAGATATCAGTCTCTCCAATGTTTTGGACAAAAAGTAGAAGTCAGCTAGTATGAGAATATTATTCTTGAACACAGTGACTGTTATTAGACCTGTATTTTCTAAGCGTATGGTTAGAAGCATCCATACCTCGTGGCTTTAGAAGGTGCAGCAGCAGGTCGTGTTGTTGAAGTGCTGGATTTCAGAGCGGTGGAACTTGCAGGTTTGTTTATTGTAGCTACACACAAAACAAAAAACAATGAGAACTTTTGATTTTTAACAAGCTTTCTAATCCATTTTACTCAGTACAGACTCACTTGTGGTTTTGGGTCTAGCGCCATTAGCAGCCTCAGCTGCTGGTCTCTTAGAAGGGCCATTCATTGTTTTTGGTCTGGTACCATTTGTTACTGTGGTGCTGGTCAAAGACRTAGTCTTGGCAGGTCCAACGGGCCTCTTATCAAGCCCTCTAGTTTGGTTCCTAGCTGTGGAGGAAGCAGCTGCTGCACTCGCCGGTCGTTTGGGTACAGCTCCTGCTGCTGGGGCTTTTGATGCAGTCGTCGTCACCTTCCTGCCTCCGGGGGCAGTAGCAGAGGATCTGACATCGTTCGCTGTGCGGTGCGAGGCAGTTTCTACTCGTGAGCTGCATCCAGGAGCCGTGGACCGAGCTTTACTTCCACCCTCTTTTGATTTGACTTTAGGCTCTGCTGCTGGGGGCTTAGCTTTGGCCTTYGGAGCAGCCTCAGTTTCAACTGTGGGCTGAAATGGAGCCTCCTCAGTTACATTCKCCTGTAAGGAGGATGACTCCACCGGTGCAGCATCTTCAGTAGGCTCTGTGGTCTCCATAGTAACCCCATCCGGCTTCATCCCACTCCTGAAGTGTGGAAATCAATTTACTTCTGTCTGACTGGTCTGGAGGGTCACACTTGTCCTCCTCAGTGGCTTTTTGCTCTCACACGTTAATGACCTGTGGAAAAAAAGGGAAAATTTATTTCAAACGTCAAAATCCCAATAAATGCTTATTTGTTTTGCAATATCGTGAATTCAGATGATAAAAACTATTTATGATAGGGGAGTCTTGGGAGGAATTTGGGGGAGACTGAAGACAGGAAGTAAGCAGTGCAAGATGCCAGAAAAAAGTATTTTTTTTTAAATCAGCAACGTTTTAATATAAATACTCCATTTAACAATCATGCATTTGAAAAGGCCTAATGAACTGCTATTCCTAATAGAAATGGAAACCAAATTCCCAATAAAACATAGTAAAAAAAAAAAAAGGAAAACTGCATCTTGGAAAACAAAATGGTTATAATGAAAAAAAAAAAAAAAAGAAACACACAGCTAAAGTTTCCTTCAACATCTGGAAACTAAAGAAAAAAAAGCTGTGGTTTGGTGTACTGAAAGCTGAGCGAAGCCAAATCATTCCCTGAAGATCAAGGAGCTAAAAAAACCCAATTATTGTCGAATTTGAAGGTTTTTACCCCCTCTGTTAAGATTCATGGTCATTGCGAAATTCTGTGATTTGATAAAATTGTTAAACACGGAGGGAAAATCTGGAATGAGTTTAAAAAAAAATAAACGAAAAATTTAAACATCTGTTCAAAAAAGGAAAGCTGTGAAGGATGAGTGAGAAGACTCATACTAGCTTTAGAGCTAAAAAGGTTTGTTACTGTGAAAGTATAGACGCTGAATCCACTTTGGATTAGCACCAGCTTTAGTCAGATATTGGC